TAATAATAATAATAATAATAATAATATTTTTCGATAAATTCGTTACAAAATACAAAAGCGCGCGGCGGAAACACATTATAATATCATCCGTATATAGGTCATTAGGTAATAATGTATGATATATATATTATATTATTATGTTTGAACATATCGCCAAAATGTCTGTTCGTATTCGCATACACATAATATATATATTATAATTATTATCGTAACACTAATTATTATTATCATATACCTATAAACATAATATTGTTTTATACCTTGTTGCACACATACACACACGTTTCGGAAATTTGTTTTCACAGTTTAAATTATTTATGATTAGTTTATATATATATATATATTTATATTATATAAATAAATAGCAGACAGGCTCGAGAGTCGGCGGCGGCGGTGGGTTGATTTATTCGGATAATATGCTGTTTTTTGTAATAGTATAACGTTTATGTACCGATAATATATTATATATATATGTGTGTGTGTAATTTTTTGGAGGGTGATCGTATGAAAATATGAAGAAGAAAAAGTATGTACGAGTATTGTATACCTATGTATAGGAAAAAAGCGTCGTTTACGCACTTGCACACACATACCTACGCTGCACTTTATATATACATAATAATATTTATGTATATAGGTATATACACGAAATATATGTCGGCGGGTATGATGTACACACACATATATATATATATTATTATTATATTTTCGGGGTAATTTTATTATTACCTTTTTCGGTTTTCGGTTTTTTTTTTTTCATCCGTCACATAAATCACGAATTAAAAGGAGTGAGCGAGCCGCAGTACGAAGGCATCGTCGGCGAGAGGAAAAACGGAGGAGAAAAAATGTGGACAAAAATTATTATATATTATGAATCGTTCGAAACGAACCGGTTTTCGTATATAATATTATTACTATATATATATCATCATATATAGGCACTAAACTATATGTATATAATATTTTATTTATATATTATTATTATTTCGTATGGACATATATATATATATATTGTTATGATATGCGTACAGGTAGGTACCTATACAGGAGACGCGCCGGCTGCAGATGGACCGCAAGAGGATGTAATATTTTTACAAGTACCGCAAGTACACCGCACCCACCTTTGCACCCGCGCGTACTCGTGTGGGTACGTCGACATTTGGGGGGAGCCTACACAAAAACCGTAGTGCGATGTATTGATTATATATACATCGTTGTATTGTTATTATATATGTACATACCAAATATTGTATATGGAGGTAAACTCGCTATATGATATATAGCGACGGACAAGTGTTTTGTTTAAAATATTGCATGGCCGTGGAGGAAAACAACCCAATTTACCTCACCCAGCACATATTTCATTGTTATATATATATATATTATATGCGTAACATTATTACATCGCCCATTGGCCGCGGTGTTGGTGGTTGATGTGGGTGGGCGGGAAACGGATCGGATTTTGCAGACGATTGTTATGTCATGTCATCGTCCGCTGTTTTGAWWAATTATAATGTTATTGTTTCCGTTCCGCGTTTGTCAATAATTGCGATAGTATGATATCAATAACAAAATATAGTCGATGCGTTGAGATCGGTTTGTTTTTTCAGTTCGGTTTGGGTCGCTTTGGGTAGACTT